GCCTGGTGACTCATCATCCCCGATGCTACATAGTGCCTCCTTGATCTCTTGCTCAGAAACATCTCGAACCAGGGCCAAAGCATTCTCTAACGATAACACAGGACTACTCTTCAAGATGTCAACATCAATAGGATGCCCCCACACAATTTTCCCAGTAAGTTACTGTAGAAATGAAGGAATTCATTGGCCACTTCTTCCAAAGAGGTAGTATATGATCTATTCCCTTTAAGCACAGTAGAAATGTAGTTCCTTTTACTATTCCTCTTGACCACCGAGTGAAAGAACTTAGTGCATTAGTCACTCAACTTTAGGCACTCGCACTTAGCTTGTTGGTAGTAGAAACTCCTCTCCGCTTTAAACAAATCCATAGCTACTTTCCTCAAAAGCGCCACCTTACTTTGAAGTTCACTATTAAGAGGATAATCATGCAATGTCAATTGTGCTTCTTTCAACTCCAAAGTAGCCATTTTAGTTCTCATGGAAACATGTGAAAATTGCTTCTCATTAAGCTTTTTAAGCTCCCCTTTAAGACTATGTAACTTCTTGCAAAGCTTGAATTGTTTCGTACCCCTAATCTCTTGTTGTCAACAATTTTGCACCACCTCTAGGAAGCTTTCATGATTAGTCCACATATTGAAAAATCTAAACAGTTTCCTCTTGCTTTCCTATTGGTCAAAAAGAGACATAATGCACGGTGAGTGATCGGATAAGCACCCCGATGGAAGAAAACGAGCCAAGTTATTAAACCCCATTTGCAACAAAACATCATTCACCAATGCTCTATCAAGCTTGCTCCAAACCGAGTTATTAGTCCGTGTAGAAACAACCAACGGATCTCATATCCATAAGTCCAAGACGAAGGCAACAACTCTCAAAGTCTTTCACTTCATATGGGGTAACATCCGCACCATTACTCTTTTCATCAAATTTTAGCACATTATTGAAGTCTCCCATAATCAACCATGGTGAGGAGCACTTTGAGCCAAAGTTCAAGATGCCATTCCATAGCGGTCTACGGCTAACACTTGTATGAAAATCATATACAAAAGTAACAAGAAATGTAAGTGAACTAACCTTGCAAGTCACGGTACAATGATAACTTGCGAGGAAGTTGGGATCACAATTTTACACCCTCTCACATGCTTCAATAATTTTTCTTCCAAGTTTTTCCCCAAATATTTTATGGCTCCATATTCGAGGGTTGTGATATGAAAGCAAATTATGACTGATAAATTCAAGGAAAGAAGGCAGGAAATGAAGCTGGAATAAACTGGAATTTATTGGAACAAAAAAACAGAGAAGAACAGAACTGGATAAACCTGATGCAAATGCATAGGGAAGAAGTAGAAATTCATTCCTTACTTGCTTAAGGAAAATACATTGTAAACT